GCCAAGAATCCAAGATGAATAAATCAAGGGTTTGTGTTTGCTCTTTGTTTTATGCTATTTTTTGTGTTTGCGTATCTATGCTGTAAAAGTAATTTGCACCACATCCCGTTCACTGGGGAAACGGATGTGAGAGGATTAAAGATTTTGCAATGGCATGGATGAGGAGAGAAAGAAACCTCCTGTTAGACAAGGTCTTGATAAACGTGTGGAGGCGACTCTTTTCAACATAAAACTTTTGATGAGAAGACATTGATTGCTTTACACGGAAGGGCCGAGAATCGGAAAGTGTATTTAGCAAATGCTCAAAACGAAAGCAGGGGATCAAGGTGATGAAATTTTCCTCTTACCACCCACTATGTAGAAGGACAAGACCTAGAAAGACTGAAGTCTTATTAATTATCTATACTTGAGTTCTTTATTGTATCTGTTCCATTTAATTGAGTATTTCCATTATTGATTGTTTTCTTTTTTTTCTCCCTTTTTCCCACTGATGATTCTTATGGTCTTTTTATTGTCCCAATTATGGTGATGGGTTTGTTTATAGTTTTGCAATAAATACTGTTATGATTTGAATACAGGATTAATTTTAACCCATGGTTTATATTCATTCATATGTTATTTTTACAAGGTTCCTACTCTCACCAGATTACATTTTAACCACAAAGTATTTGGGATTAAAGTACAGAGCTTGTTTCCTTTCGGATCTTCATTAACTTCAGTTTCAAGGATAATGAGTTATATAAACTATAACAATGAAGATTTATGAAAGAGTTTCTTTTGAAAAATTTCTTTACAACAAAATTTTACAAAAGTTCTTTTACAGGCGTATGTATATACTTATCCATTGTACTTAATTAAAGCAGTAAACAAAAAGGACACATGTCAGTTCCACAATCAAAATTTTCCCTCCAAAAGCCTTTTTCAGTACAAAATGAAAACTGACATGTGGCATTATAAGAATGCAGATAAATAGCATATACTTATTTCATTTAAAAAAAAAAAAGTTATACGGTTGCCCTTATCTCCTTCATTCATGAAATCTTCAAAGTTCAAATCCACATTGATTATCCCAAAAATCACTCCAATTAATAAATTTTCCAAATTATCTTCTCAGACCTAATTCACTCTGCTTAATTGAATTCAATTTTCAAAAGAAGAAAGAATCCACTAGACCCTCTGTTCTCGATTTAATTGAATTCAAATTTCAAAAGAAGAAAGAATTCACTATCCCTAATATTCTCGATATCTCCTCTTAAATGTACGACGTCGTCGTTCTCCGCCTAATCAGAATCGCCACTGTCGAACAATCTCGGATCGACGACCTAATCTTTGAAGTGACCGATTCAGATTTAATGGTGAAGCACGAGCCAATCGATATAAAGAAGCTATGCCTTTATGTATTATATGAAAATCGACGATATCAAAGCCGCCAAAGAAAAGATTGAAGGCACAAATCTCCATGGGAACGCAATCAAGGTACGAATAGTAATCGTCGGGGGTTTTTATAGATTAGGGTTTGGATTTTTAAAAGGTAAAGATTTGAAGGGAATTGAGTTGGTACCATTTTGTTTGTTTGGGAAATAAGATTAGAGAAGGTTTCACGGGGAGTGCCAAAGAGTTGATTTTGATGATCAATCAATTAAATTTACTTGTGGTTTTTTATTTGTACTGTTTGACTGATTGAATTTTTGTTTATTGTGATTGATCAACCCACTTGGTTATTGATTCTTTATTGTGGAAATGAAAAGCCACGATCAACCACAACAACTAAGCATACATGTTTTAATTTGATTATTCTCAGGCCGAATAAAAGAAGCCTAAATGCTGGATCAATCTCCTGGGAGGTAATTCTTCATATGTAGAATTTTACGTTGTATTTTTTGGTAATCAAAAGTTTTATTTTTTTTTTACTATCGTTTCTGGAATCTCATGTAGGTATAAAATATAGGACATGCATTTTAGCAGTTCGGACAGCTCAATCTATCCTCTTAAGATTAAGCGCTCAATCACGACGTTTACAAGCATTGGTCACAAAATAGAATGCCAGATTTTAACAGCTCAATTGGCGATGTCTACGATTGGAACATCCAGTTTGCGAGGAAAAAGTAGTCATTGACGATGGTGGTTCTTTTTTTTCATATGGTTTGTATATGTAATTAAAACATTATTTAGGATTCGTCTTCCATTTGAGATACTATATGGCTCTTTAATTCAATTTTTGTTTTCAAATTCATTGTAGGAACTTGCATTGGATAAAGGTTGAGAGTTGAGACTGCTAATAAGCAGCTCTTTAGAGACACTAGATCAGGTATGGTTTTAGGTCATTTTTTCTCTCCGTCATCTGGATTCTTGGACATTCAGATGGAGCAATACTTGCTTGCGCTACATTGATATTAAACTTCACTCATAAAATTCCCGGTAAGCTGACTTTCAGCTTTGAAATAGCTGAATTGCCCTTTCGAGGCTGCTGGGTTGATACATTTGCCGTGAAAATGCGCTTCAATCAGTATTACTACTTGATAGCTTCTTTCTACATTAGTATAGGGCCAGACTTTTGGTCATTGTTTAAGCAACATTTGCTATTATTATATGCAGTCAACTCTTGCATTTATGCCATCCATCTCTTTGAGAAATTTATTATTCAATAGGAAGTATTCTCATTTATCATTAATCATTGATTACAGGTGTTGGTATGATTGCCCCAGTGAAGAACTTGGAGAACTTGGAAAACTTGGGAGAAATGTCAAGCATGACAAAGGAGGAAATGTCTATAACTTGGGGAAAATGGGACAAGAAGAAAATGGATGCACAATTTAGGTTGAAAATCCCATAAGCTTCTTAATTACTTCTACAGCCGAAAGTATCCATCTGCAAAGCATGGTCAGATTGATAACTTGCTACATTGATCACTTGGAGAGAAGGTAAGATTAGATTCTCCGTGTGCTTAAGATTTTAAAAGGGATTTGTAATGTCCACATTTTCTTTTCCAGTTGATTTCAATTGTAATATATGTACTACTTCATTTCATATCTGTCATGAATCCAATGTAGAACAAACGTTAGCTGGTCAATTTTGGGATAAAGTATGATTGTATCCGCCCGGGCCAAGCATCTAGTATAATTTTACAACAAAATTTTTTAAAGTTCGTATCTTTTATTTTTGTTTACTTCTTTTTTTTCTGGTCAAATAACATCAGTTTTCAAAACAATCCTTTCGGTAGAAGACTTATTTGAAATTATATCACCAGTTTTCAGAACAATCTCAATATCAAGTGCAATATTGGAAAAAAAAAAAAAAAAAAAAAGAGTAAGTATTACTTTAGCCAAAGTATGGCTTCTATTCATCATAAGTAGCGTAAAAAAATTTAATCTTACCTCAACCCCTAAAATGGCTAATAAGTCCCGATAAGTAATTTTAGCTATGTTGCACTTCTATTAGCAAAAATTACCCTTGATGTAAAAAAGCTAAAATGACTACATCCCTGCAAGTAATTTTAGCTAGCATACAATATCCTTGATTAAAAAAACAAAACAATGACATGGCTTAAAAGTACAAATGTACATCTCCATATAATCTTAAGAAACTACCTATACGAATAGCTGAAATCCAAGAAATTTGGCGCAGAGTTAGATTCTGCAATTTCATGTTTTAACACCACTTTCTAATTAACTACGATTCATCACATTTTGAATAGCTTTAGGTATGCTACTATGAATCCCTACACCTTCTTCCTTGCTCTTCACCTCACCTTCTTCACAATTGCAACTTTAAACACTAATACTAATCGAAACCATTAAGATAATCTGATGATGGGCAAGAACGAGAATGGGCAAGAATGGTACACAATTTCTATGGATTAGAGGGAACATTAGCACTGAAATTGATGTGATAGACGGTTTATAGATGCTACTATATGTTGTTACTACTTTGTGATGTTTTTTAGTACATAACAAAGTATTTACTGTTAGTAACATTAACTATTTTGTAATATATATTTATTGTGCTTATAGACAACTGATTGTTATAAACAATTGATTGAATACATTTCTCATACTTATTTATTCATTCTCATAAGAGAATAAATGTGATTTCTCTGAAGCGCACATCGTGTAGGTATAACATCTAGTTGTTATAAAGATGGGAAAATAATAGTAATACTGTAAAAAAAAATAAAATAGTCCAGATTGAGTTTTCAAATTTTTATGTACTCCCTTCATCTCGAAATTATTGCTCAATTTGAATTTTCATTTATACTCCTCTGTCCGAGAAAAATAATTCATATTAAGTTTTCAAATTTGTACTAAAACTAATACAAATCTCAACGTGGACTATTCTTTTTGGGACAGGTATAGTAACACAAAATGAAAATAAAAAATTTAAACTGTACAATAATTTTATGACTGAGAAAATACTATTTATGAAACTCGATGTGAACTAAAGTTTTTGGGAGGGAGGGAGTAATTATGAATTTTAGTGTTCCTTTGGTAATTTTTAGTTTCAAGAATATTTCCTCCATTCCAAAATAAGTGTCGTCCTACACTTTGCACATAGTTTAAGAAATTCTTATATAGAGTAATAAAGTTACTTGAATATCCACAACCAACCCCATTATAAAATTGTTCACCAATAGCATTAACTCTTTTGAGGGTAATTTTGAAAACTTTTGACAAAAAGTGCATTGAAATGTGAGAACGACACTTATTTTAGAATTTCTACATCTTGCTAAAACGACACTTATTTTGGAATGGAGGGAGTACTACATTTTTCTTGGTCGAAACGAATAAGTTTAAGAGTTACTCCCTCCGTTCCAAAATAAGTATCATTATAGAGTTTGCACGTAGTTTAAGAAAACATTAATTAGGGTAACTAAATTACTAGAATATACTCAACCAACTCCATTGAAATAAATGCTACTAATAATATTACTATTTCTTTTGTGGGTATATTTGGAAATTCTTGACAAAAATTGTATTGGAGTCTGATATTTATTTTAAAATTTCTCTATTTTGCTAAAACGACACTTATTTTGGAATGGAGGGAGTATTATGACTTATGACCATAAAACTCTTTGGTTCGTTGAGCTGAAGTTCATCAGTTTCCTTTCGCTACCCAAAAGTCAAAATCAAAACCTGATCTATTGATTCTCAATACTAAATTAATCAATCCCTCTGGTTGAGTTTGGTGTTTCATTGGGGACACCAACAATGGATTTCCGCGGGTTATCTTCGGATGTTAGGAAAGTGCTCAAGGAAGGCAGTTTTCTGGGGAGTAAGAATAACAGCGGTGCATATCCGTATGATCTTGCGATTTTGTTCGCGAGGATTTGGTTTCTCAAAGCTGAGATTTTTGTCCACTCGAAGACCCTCACTACATCAGTGGAGGATTTCTTCGAATCCCTTCATGAGGGATCCAGATTTCTGCTCAAATCATTTGGTGGGCAGTTGAAGGAGAAGGCCGAAATTCAGACCCTGAAGCTGATTGAAGGAATGCCTGGACAGGTGGAGTCTCTCTATAAGTCCTCTCAATCTGAGGCTTTGGTCGAAAACCACCAAATAAGGGACTTACTCTATCGGTTCCTCGTACAGCTCAAGTTATTCAAGGCAGATGCGCTCTTATCGGGGGAAATACTCAACCAGAAAGAAGAAGTCAGCCCTTTGAAGAAGCAAATAGGAACTCTTCAGGAAGGCCTAGCCTATTTGATCAAATCAGATGTTAATCATCCAAGAAAGAAAGAATATTCAGAGGATGAGAAGTTGATCTTGGCAGATATTGAAAGACTGGCTGCTGGTGTTTCATTTCTGTGTGATTCCTGTCCTGCTGACAGTATGGAACTTCAGCTTTCTAATTTGCAGGGGAAAGTTCAGGGTTTAAAATTAAAGCTCACAGATCTTTACTTCCAGAATCCCAGCTCAAATTTCCCCAAAATGCCTGGGTTGGCTCCCATTAAATCCCTCTTGCAAAAATTACAACAGCTGCGTAAGCTAGCTCATGAGTCTGTAGAATGTGCAACCTATCAAATTGAAGCCATTCATGGAGAGTTGGAGCTCATAATTTGTAACTACGGCCATAGCCTTGAGAATGAAAAAAGCGCGGATGATATCCGTGCCCGGTTAGTTAATGCTGCTTACGAGGTTCAACATGTGATCGACTTAATGGTTAGTGGGAGTGGCGGGGAGTCCCAACAGTTGCTGTGGCTTTTTCATCTGTCGGAAGAGATTATACATGTTAAAAACCAGCTGCGTGATTGTTTCAAGAACAGGAACAAAGGCTTGCATCCGTCAGAATTGATCACACATGCCGAGGACAAGACCGCTTCTCACGGGTAAAGAAAACCTACTATATCTTCATATGGTCTCTTCGAATACATCGAATTTTCTGGAGGAATCTTATACTCCCTCCGTCCCATATTTATTGTCCAGTTTAGATTTTCATTTTTAATTCAAATTGTACTAAAAATGAAATCTCAAAATGAACAATAATTTTGGGAGAGAGGGAGTACTTAATATGCTCATAATGGCAATGCTTCCTCTTGTATTCAAAACACCTAACTGTCCTCCCTTTTCGTTTTTCTCTTTTTTCTTATTTAACTACTCCTACAGGTTGAAGCCTATAGTATCAAAGCACGCCACCCATAGCGCTGAGAAAATTATGGTGGGTTTTGATAGTGATAAAGCATTTATACTTAATGAGCTTATTCACGGAGGAAGCCATCTAGATGTTGTTTCCATTGTTGGAATGGGAGGCATTGGTAAAACCACTTTAGCCAAAAATGTATTCGAAAGTCTTAAAATTGTGCATCACTTTCATACTCGGGTGTGGTGTTGCGTTTCTCAAACATATGTAAAAAAGAGAGACTTGTTGCTTGGTGTTTTAAGACAACTTTTGGAGTTCACAGATAATACCCTTGAGATGGAAGATCAATTTATAGAAGAGTTGCTGCATAAATTCTTAAAAGGAAAAAGATACCTCATCGTCATGGATGATGTGTGGCATCATTCAGCATGGGCTGACTTGCGGAATTCGCTTCCAGATGATCTGTGTGGAAGTAGGATTTTGATAACTAGTCGCTTTCTGGAGTTTCCCAAACCTCATCATCTTCATCTGCTCTCTGATGATGAAAGTTGGGAATTGCTTAAGAAGAAGGTATTTGGTTACAGATGGTGGCCTGAAGAGTTTTTGAAATTTGGTCAGCAAATCGCTAAAACTTGCAAGGGACTACCCCTTGCTATTAATACAGTTTCTGGCCTTCTTGGTGCGACAGATGAGGATAAGTGGCAAGAGATTGCAGAACGTTTGAGCATAACGAAAGCTATGAGTGCTACAGAACATGTGATGACAGCACTTGAATTAAGCTACCAGCATCTGCCAGATAATTTGAAAGAATGCTTCCTTTATTTTGTAGTATGTGCAGAAGATGAGGATTTTTCAGTCCGGAAATTGTTATGGCTATGGATTGCAGAAGGCTTTATAACTGATGAGAAGTCCAGGACCTTAGAAGATCTTGCTAAGGAGTGCTTTATGCAGCTAATTGGGACAAACTTAATTATGGTTGCCAAAAAGAAATCTAATGGTGAGGTAAAAAGATGCAGAGTTCATGATCTAGTACTCGATTTCTGCAAGAGGAAAGCTAAAGAAGCAAATTTTATGCAGCTGATATCTGGTGAACCTTCTTCTGTGCTTCATGATGAGCATTATAATCCTTCAGCTTCCTCAAATTCTGAGCAGTATCGACTTTCCATCAGTGGAGATCCAGAAGGATTCATTGTATCAAAGCCTAGTGGCCCATTTGTCCGTTCGCTTCTGTTTTTTACTGCAAATCAAATGTACCCAGGATGCCACAGTGATGTGTCATTCATTTTCAGCAACTTCAAACTTCTCAAGGTGTTGGATTTAGAGTTTATCAATGCTGGTAATACATTGGAAGTGGGACTCGATTTACCAGTTCATCTGAGGTATTTCGCTGTTGGTGGTGATATGGATTCTATTCCATCATCTTTGTTCAAACTGCAGAATCTGGAGACTTTGGTTGTTACGGGTTTGATGAATAAGTTTGTTTTGCCAGATACCATTTGGAGCATGGCAAAATTGCGTCATCTTCGTATTACTAATCACTGCATCTTCACCTTGCAGTATAACAAAAACAGGAGCTACTCTAAATTAGATAGCTTAGTATCACTTACCATGCCCTCATTTATTTGTGGGGAGGAAACGAACAACATAGTGACGAGGTTTCCCCATATTCGAAAGCTGAAATGCAAAGTTTTAGAACCACTAGTCGGTTCTATGCTAGTGCCCCAATTTCCTGCCTTGGGATCTCTCCACCAGTTGGAGACTCTGGTGATAACGTACTACGGAAGGCCTCTCAAAACTTGTGAATTCAACTTGCCGTCAAGTCTAAAGAAGCTGACTCTATCAAATTTCCGCCTGCAATGGATTCATATTTCAGATATTGGGAGATTACCTAAGCTTGAGATCCTTAAATTGATTTCTGGGGCCTTTGTGGGGTCAAGGTGGAATATGGAAGAAGGGGAATTTTTAAACCTCAAATACTTGAAATTAGACTCCCTAGATATTGTCCAATGGGATGCTCCCCGCGATATCCTGCCTTGTCTTGAGCAGCTAGTGTTACGAAATTGTAAGCAGCTTGGGGAGGTTCCTGTTGGTTTCGCGGATATCTCCACCTTGCAGAAAATTGAAGTTCATCAGTGTGGAGTTTCTGTTGAAGAGTCAGTTAGAAGGATTGTTGAGCAACAGTTGGAGTTTGGCAACGAGGACATTATCAGTGTATTTCCTTGACTGTGGATTTTCCACTCTTGGCAAGTAAGTAATTTTAATCCTGTTGATCAAGCTACTTCCATGATATTTTTTTTTTTTCTTAAAAAGGAAGTTCTTCAGTTTACTGTTGCTTCAGTTGGGTTACACATTTCTGCTGTTTAAGTTTCATCACCTTTGCTTGTCTCTTTTGTATTTGATTTCCCTCTAGCTGCAACTTTTATCTTTAATGGTCATCTATGGTTATCTTTAATGGTCACATTTCCGCTGTTTAAGTTTCATCACCTTTAGTTTTATCCCTTCTTTGTGCCGACGAGAGTGATCAAACACAATCTTTTACCTTTTTGGCTTATTGCTCATCTTCTTCCATTATCCGTAATTCCGTAGGATTATTTTTACCTAGCTAGAAAAAAGCTTTAAGGAGAAACTTTTAACTTCACTCCTGATTTCTCGTTAAAACGATGAGAGTGCTAAATCTGCAGCAATACAGGCACATTATGGATGGTCAAATGGTAAAAGAAATGGACCGAAATAATTACTGCAGCAATGATATAAGATGTGTTTGTCATAGTTTTTCGGCAGAAACTGCTAAAACTTTCCCAGCCAAATGAGTATCTGTGACTATTTTTTGTATGTTTTCCCTTCAGGAAAAGGAAAAAAGGGGTTGATCGTGGGAAAAACATGCACATCTCAACCACATGATGTTTGTGATAAGATACATCGATATGACTCAAGCGAGCAACCAAAATGAGATGACAAAGACTGTCTGCCAAGGGCTTGTCAAACACCAGATATACACGAGAAACATCAAAGAAGTGACTTATAACCGGTAGCTGGCCATAAGTTGGCTCCAACAATTCAATGTCTGAGGTCGATGCTCCACCAGTTGTACGAAGATGTCCCATGAGGCTGGACCAAGAGGTAGCTGTAACATTTTCTGCTTAAAAAACTGCAGAATGATGACAATAAGCAAGAGCTAGTGCTGCCATTCATCAGTGGATCAATGCACAAGGATAGGAAGTTAAAGCTCAGCTGCAATCTTTGTGTTATATTTCGGATTTCAAGTACGTCGCAAAAGGTTTTCCTTTTTTGGTTTTACTTCTGATATATTATCCAAACAAAATAAATAAATAAAATTACTCTGTATTTGGACTTGCGAATGAAAATTTTCCAAAAAAAGAAAGCAATTAGATGATCATATATATTCCTTATATTTGGAATTCTGAATGTCTTTTTACCTGTCATTATGATAGAGTCCATAAATTTGTGTTTTAATTGTTCTTATTATACTAGTTTATAGATTTGGATGGGTTTAATTCATTAGTTTTGTTATTATTTCTTGTTAGAAGCTGGAAATAAGATATTGGAGCTGTTTTGGATAATTTTGCACGATCAAGGACTTAAATACAAAATTGAAGAAGTTTTGGGGCAAAAGTAAAAATACTACAAACTTGAGGGACCAAAGATGCAAATCGTGGACTAATTCTTCTCTTCCAGCGGCTGACCTAAATTTCCCATATAAATATACTTTTAGTTTTATTTTAGAGAGCAGTCGTGCATAGGCCAAAGGCTAGCACCTCAAACCTTTTATTTCTTCCAATTTTTCTTGAATTTCTATGGAGAATAAAGCCGCCATGTTTCCGTCCATGAGTGGCTAAGGATTTTCTTTCTGATTCAAGGGATTTATTCAGTTATTCCATTATGAGGTATTGTTCTTAATTTATTGTTCTTGCCTATAATTTAAGTATTTGTTGATTCTTGTATTGAGTTATGAAAGTAGATATCATTCAAATTGACAACTTGATTTGTTATTTATTTTTTAGTGCTATCTGCTAGTTGAATATTACGTAATAAACAAGAATCGGCAGTACTGAGTAGCAATTATACAAAGAATGTGTATTGGTGAGATATTGAATATGCATGTTAGTTTAAATGTGGAATCAACGAGGCAAAGTCCGAATAGTTGCAGCTATCTCAATTGTTTACATTTTGGTTCAAATATATTTCCTTGGTATTTATGCTGTCATTGTTTGGTATGGAACGCTATCGTGCCCAGCCGAATTATGATAAGGACTAATTGAGTGCTAAGCTTGGTTAGTTAATTTAGGGAGATTAATTGATTTATTACGGCTATCCTAATAGATCTTTGGTTGAATGCTTAAATTGCAAGAGTAGTTTTAGTAGCCTGTGATTAATGAAATAATTGAATTATCCGTCCCTTGAGTCAGAAGTCTGTTACTTTGATTTCTTTTCATTTATTTAGTTTTTGTTATTTGAATTTCATTATTATAGATTTAGAAAAACCATCCAAAAATCTCCTTTGCATTAATTTGAAGGAAACAATCCATCGTTCCCTGAGGAGACGACCTTACTTCCCTATATTACAGTAGTTTGAAGTAGGTTATTTTATTTGTGTGGATTTGACACTCCATCAAATTGGCGCCGTTGCCGGGGAACGGTGTTAATTGATATTTTTCCTTTAAATTTTTTTTTTGTTTTATTTTAGTTTTTTTTTTCCTTTTGCAATGGACTCATATGCACATCAATCTTGGAACCGACGAGATGACCATTGGAATAAAAATGAGGTATGTTCTTCATATCTTGAGCAAAAATTATTTGAACTAACGTCTCTTGTGAAAAATATTGCTATAGGTCAACAGAAACAAGTCCAAAGATGCGGTATTTGTTTAATTACTGGTCATACTAGCAATTTTTGTCCAAAATTTCCATACTACCAGTGGGAGGGTCAGAATGCCATGAGAGAATCTTGGAGACCGCCACAAGAAAGATACGAACCTCGTTCATATTCATATGATCCAGGCTGGCAGGATTATCAGAATTTCAACTATGAGTATCAGCCATCTCAGCCACAAGTGTATCATGTTCCGAAACCCCCACAGTCTCAAAGCTCAGGTTTGTCTTTAGATGAGATTGTTAACGCTTTGGCAACTAATACTCTTAAATTTGAACAGGAAACAAGAGCAAGCATACAGGATTTGGGGAGCCGAATTAGCCAGCTAGCTAATGCTATTAGCAAGTTCGAAGTCTCAAAGCCTGTGGAATTATCATCTCCATCGGTAGTTAATCCTGTTGAAAGTGTGTGTGCCATGAAGGAAGTAAGTCCCAAAAATGATGTATCTGAGACGAAGGTAGCGAAGGAATTTGTTAAAGAAGAGCCGCATTATGTGGTACTTCCTCCATTTCCGAGCAGATTCTCAAGAGCTGAGTTAGAGAAAATGAAATATCTTTTCATAGAATAGGTTTATGGTGTGGAAACTGCACCTACTCAAAACGCAGATGATTTGAAACATATGAGAGTAGAGAAAAATGAGGCAGAGGCATTGGACGACAATGAGGTAATTGATCTTTCTATTTTATTGAGTCAAACTAATGCAGCTGATACTTCTTTTTCAGATATGTCAGTAGAGCCAAAGATAGAGGAGCCCAAACGGAATGTGGTAGAGAATTTTTCCAAGGATGAGGTACATGTACATTTGGTGAAAAATTTTGATGAGCTGCCTTATCATGGTGAGCTTCTTAAGAAGTTTTGTGCTGAAAAGAAAGAATTCCAATTCCATGGTGTCGAGGTAGTTTTAATTGGAAAAAATGTATCTATTATGCCACAATCAAAATTTTCTTCCAAATGCAAGAATCCAGGTATGGTTACTACTTCATGCACTTTCAATGATGCATTTAAGGATTGGAAGCCTCCAAAAGTTGTTTTAATACCATTACCTAAATCTCTTGAGTGTGCATATGGACATGTATCTCGACCTCCTGAAATAGGGCTAATCGTAGATGCAAGTTTTGTGAGTCTAGATAGATGTGGAGTGTTTAAAGAATCAGTTAGAGCAGACTATTTTCCACCTCATTTTGTTGAATCAATGTCTAAATATGAATTTGGTCCATCTAACTTCGATTTCCTTGGATGGCTCAAAATTTTATCTACCGTTGTTAGGTGGAAGTTCAAAATTTCCACCTTGAGACACACCAAATTGGTCTAGCCAAAGACAATAAAGAAAGGCGTTGTTTGGGAGGCAACCCAAAGTGTTTAAATTACGTTGTTTTTTTTTAGTTCATTTGTTTTTGTTATTTGGAGTTGAGTTTTAATGTGTGTTTAATTTTCTTTTAAGACAAATGGTGTTTTGTAAGCATGATCATGGATAAGTGTATTTTAGGTTTGTTGGATTAATTTTTTGCAAGTGTTATTTTTTCTTAGGCGTGATCATGCCTAAGAGAATAATTGGTTAATTCCTTTTAACGTTGTTTTGTTATCTAGGGCAGATTCGAATGATGCATTACACATGATCACGCCTAACACAATTGAAGCTATTTTCCTCTAGAAAAAAATCAGAAAATAAAAAAAAAAATTACGATCTCTTTTCGTTCTTTCCTTTATTTTTTTTCAGAAACCTACAATCCCAGATTTGCAGTGACGTGATCAAAATCGGTGGCCATCCAATTCGCTTCAATCGCCGGGACCCTAATCCCCGATTTGAAGCCGACGACCACCCCCAGTTCACCGTTGCCGCCATCAGTAGGTCACACCATCATCATCGTTGTTCCGATTTTGAGCATCCAAGCGGCCGCCGTCCAAGTCAGCAGAGGAATTCAGCAGTCGTCGGAGTTCAGCAGACCTCCATCATCACGGTCGATTGATGCTGTTGCTCGGCTCGCTAACTTCATCACCCGCTGGAACGTTGCTCCAATCAATTCCATCAGTCCGTTCCACTTTTTGCTGCTCAGTTGCCACCATCATCAACACCGCCTGCTGTCATTCGTGCACGTGCCTGACTACACCTTGCTGCGGTCAATCACTTTCATCAGCTGCCTTGTCGCACTTGTAATCACCGTCATCGTCCTTCTACGGGCTGGAGTTCACCGCTGCTGCTCGTTGTTTTGTTTCCGCCAGTCCGAACGCGGCTGGTTGCTGCCAACTGTGGTGTTTTTCACTCCAACTCCGGCGAGCTTTTCTCAATTCCGGTGCTCAATTTCGATTCCTGCCGCTGTTTTACTCGTTTTTTGGCCACCTCGTTGCTTCACCTCAATGCTGTCTCTGCCGCTGAAGTCCAAACCCTTTTCTGTAATGATTCCTCGCTGCTACAGTACTTCCGTGACTCCATCAGACCACTTCAACATGCCCGAGCGCTGCTTTCTTTAATTGTTGGTGTTGTTGACGGCCTACACCTCCATTCCAGTAGTTTCAGTGATTCAATTCGGAGAAAATAATCTCCAGGGAAGTTCTAAACTATATTCTCCTACATGTGTTTAGAATTATCAATTTTTGCTGTTTGGATTGGGCAGTGGGGTTGGTTTGGAGTTTATTTGTGTTGAATTGGTGCTGGAACTTTTAATAATCCTGGGCTTAGAAAACGTTCCATTAAATTCTTGATTTGAATGATTTCTTTGCTGGGTTGGTGAATTGGGTCTGGAATTCGTTTTGACTACTTGCTTTAACATTTATGAAATTCGAACTTACATGTGTAGTTGCTTCGTGAGAATTGAATTTGAGTCAACTGAATTTAAATGTGTTGTTGTATCCCACACTATGAAGTCGTGCTTAACTCCTTGATTTACTTCTTTTGTGTGAGTACAATAAACTACATTGCGGACAATGTATGTTCTAAGTGTGGGGGGATTTTAGATGTTCTTGTCTGTTTGTGTTTAGTTTTTTTTTTCATTTATTATTTTAGTGTTTGCTTATGTTAAAAAAAAGATAAAAAAATTGAAAAATGAAAAAAAATCAAGAAAATAAAAAAATCCAAAAATAGCCGATGATGAACTTAACTTGAGACTCTATGAAATCTACTTACATTGAGACAAAAATTTCTTTTGAGTCTGTGCATTATGTGTTATACCCTGAATACTTTACTTGCGCACTTTAGCCATAACTCTGGGATAAACTTTATATGTATGTGTAATTGCCTAAATTCATGCGATATGCCAAAGTTTGATTTGATTCATTCAGTATTAGTACCATTTGCATGTGGGACCTTGCTATATTATGAAACTCAAAAATAGGCATTAACCCTATCATCACTTCGAACTCGAAAACGGGGGAGTGGTGGTTTGAAAATAGTCTTTTTACCTTCTTGCTTAAAGTACTTTGTGCTAAGTAAGTGTGGGGAGGGGGGGGATTGTTGGCGGATGCTTTTCTGAGGTTAGGTACACTTTAAAGAGGGAGAAAAGGAAGAGCATTCAATGTTGATGCTAGCTCATTAATAGGTGAAAAGTTTGGCAAACAACTAGCAGAGTGTCCTCAGGCCCATCGGTGAGAAAATATGAGTAAGTAGACTGCCCTAAGTTTCTAAGCCACTATGTAAATTACTACATAAATCAAGTGAAAAAATGCTCTGGGCAGGGGCCTGAGTGGGAAAGAACCTGAAGAAAAGCCATATGGACACTGAAGAATGGGTACGAGGGAAGTGCGTTGAATTGTATTATGTGAGGGTAATTGTAAGCCTTCGGTTTCATAATATGTGTAGGAGTAACATTGCATTGAAGTACAGTCTAAATTGGGGATCCTAAGTTCACTCTTCAGTGGTATATTTGCATTTGAATTTTTGTATTTTATGCTATGTATGACAGTGATGTCCCTAGGGAGTGGTTTATACACACACACAAAGGGCTAAAG